GTGACCTTTACCTACCAGTCCAATGTACTAAATACATTTGGTTGAATTGACTAAATATAATTTGTTACCCTAACTAGGTTAACGGCTTGGTACAACTTACCCATATCGTTTGGCGCATTTATACACGGTAAAAAGCATTTTGTTTAAATGACAAAATAAATTTGTTTGGACAGATTTGTTTTATTCAATAAGTATTTATTTAAAATTACACAACCTTATAACAAAGCTAATAAACAATATTTTTTAAACAAATTTAAAATTTGTTTAAATTGACCAAATTATTTTTTTTCTTTAGTATTGCAAGACATTATTTTGAGCAACAAACATTTAATATGACAAAATAAGTGTTTTTAAAACAATTATCCATTTTTATTAATTTTATAAAATATTATTTGTTATTTATATCCAAATAATATTTGAACTAACAATATTTAATTAGTTGATTTAAAGTATTTTTATATTTATGGTACATATAATTTTTGTCAATTTTATGAAGCTTTATTTTATTTGATTAAAACTTTTTTATTTCAAAATTATTTTACATTTATTCTTACGAACCAGTGAATTGTATTAAAGAAATATTTTGTAAATTGTACAAATAATTTTGTTGTGCGAGATCACATGACATTCGTTCTCCAATCAAACCGCGGCAAGCAGACGCCAAACGCGGCACTGTAGACGACATATTGGCTTTATTTCTTGTGGCCGCGTCAGGGTTGCCAATCGTACTAGAATTATAGTATTTCTACTATAATTTTATGTCGGTGTACCATGTACTAAAGCAAAGTATTATAGTACGTTAAAATACCCCAAACAGCACACAACATCCTTAAGACGTCTTGTTTATGTCTTAATAAGGTCTGAACGTCTTAAGACCTAAAAACGACGTCTTAAAGACATATTTGAGAAGACGTCTTAAAACAAGCAATTTAGTAACGTCTTAAAGACGTCTTTTTAAAGTCTGTTTCGGGATATAAACTATCTAGGATCTACCAGCTGTACTGCAATTTGTACCCGCGGCGTTTACTTTATTAAGATAACCTGTATAAATTAATTAATTACTTTTTTTAACTTTTGAATACATTTAAAGACTTAGTAAGGACGTCTTAAAGGCGTATTTTTGAAGACGTCTTAAAGATATGCAATTTGTGATATCCTAAAGACGTCCATGAAAGCCTAGTTTGGGACATTTTAACCTAACTGCCTATTGAGAAACTCAAAAAAATGTACACCCATACAAAACTATCTGTTTATGTGAAGTGTAAGTTTTTGCTCTATATATACTAAATACTTATGTTTAACAGTTTAGATAGGTACTTTTATATCAACAATCTCTCTATTTTAATATTATTTGATACCAATGGTAATTTTAAATTTAGCGCGCTTCTATTATTTCCCTCTTGTGGAATTTGCCTTAAATACAAAACTGGACAACGTTGTCAGATCGACTAATTTTTAGCAGATCTACAACAAATTAAATATAACAACAAAATGTATTCAATAAAATATTAAAACTTACAGCATTTGTAATCAGGGCCTGTATAGGCAATTTTTTGTAGGATTTAATATTAAATTCAAACACGATAGAAATAAAGAAACAAATAAAACATCTGACCAAACCACCATGCGCAATGTTCAAAGAGAACTCCGGCAACGCTGTTGTCAAAGCGGAATTGGCATATGATTAGCCATTTTGTTTGTTTTTTTTACAAACATTTTTGTTAGCTGATACTGCTTGACTTTGCATTTTATTTAAACTTTTTCGGTCTCTAGCTATTTACAAATAAAACTTACTGTGAACTGTGAGAGTGAGTGTAAGTACTATAATAATTATAAAACTTAATTTTATGGCCGTTGTTTGGACCAAACAGTGTCGTGTCTTCAATCTTCAGCAGTGAGAATCCAGTGAAATAGGTAATAAGAAACATGAAGCGTATTCGTTTAAGTAAATATTATTTTTTATAAAATAGCTGTCTATTTAAAAGTTTTAAAACCTGTTAAAAAACAAACAAACCGCTGTTGTGTAAATTAATACGTTTTTTTTTTTAGGATCAGTGGAGAAATCGGGTCTTGCCAAATTTGATAAAGATACGGAAATTGCTATTCAAGCTTGGCTAAAAAGGGCATCAGATAGAAGAACCCAATTATTAAAGAAGTTTTAAGATTTTTTTTTCAAATATTTTGCTATCTGTATGATTTTATGTGGCCAACCTTCCACCTCAAAGTTGGAACACTTTGTTTATTTAAAAATAGAAAATAAAAGTTTCAGTGGATTTTGAACGATTTTTTTAATTTTAGCAATATATTTTAGTCCCTTAAAGACGTCTTTACGACGTCCATTAATGGCCGTAAAATGACTTAATAAAGATGTCTTAAAGACGTTGGGTTTTTTAACATTCGACGTCTTAAAGACGTCGTAAAGACGACGTGCGGCGTAAATAAGACGTCTTAAGGATGTCTTGAATAGCGAAGCAAGGCGTCTTTAAGATGTCTTAAAGATGTCTGTGTGCTGTTTGGGACTATAATTTTGAATAATAGTATTGTTAGTAAAATACCCACTTCTTAAAAAAATCTATAATTTTTAAAAAAGAAAACTGCCCAATTTGTATTTTCGCGCCCTCTTTTATGCAAAAGCAAAACTAGCGACATGAAATACCGTGGTGCGCATTAGCGCGGCGCGTGCATTTATTCTCTTATTTAACTGTTATTTTTTTCAAAGAAAAAGATTTGTATAGGTTATACGTGTAAATACAGTGTGTACATTTTATGATAAAGGGTATGTACCTACAGAATACATTTTCAATTGCATACAATGTTTGCAAACTTATCAGTTATTGTAACAACAAACGTTTTGTGAATATAGATAATATATATTATATAACATAGTAAAAAAGGGGAAAAAATGTGGGCTGCTGCTTCTCAAAAACCTATACGTCATCTGTACTACAATTTTTCTAAAAAATCCTATAATTAAATTGAGAAAATACTATAATGTGCATCTCAAGAGTTGGCAACCCTGGGCCGCGTAGTGACTTCTTCTTTGGCAGTGAGTTTATGCAAGTTTATGCAAGTTATTTGGTAAGTAGTGTTGTTATTTGAATAACTTATTTCCATATTTTTAATAGTTTATAATGCTTATTACTTATAACTTATAACATAGGTCCGGTTTTAAACACATTTGACGAGAAGCCATATATGAGTACCTTAGATGCAAAACTCGGTTTTTGCAAATTAAAAAATAAAATAAAATTGACTTTAAATTCTGTTTAGTGTTCGTCCTAGATAAATGGCGTTCATAAAACTTGATACATAATAATATTATATTATATACAGTGCTTGCACATCCAAGTCCGACCGCGTTGGGAAGGATGGTTGTTCAATACCCGCGTGAAAAGAATAAGGATAGAATGCCAAACAGAATTTGATTGGTCAGAGCGTCAGGCGTGCGTATTGTAAGCGCCTTCTGTTTGGCGTTCTATCCTTGTTATTTTCACGCGTCCTTCTCAAACCGGTCGTACTTGGATTTGCAAGCACTGTATATTATTATGTATCAAGTTTTATAAACGCCATTTATCTAGGACGAACACCAAACAGAATTTAAAGCCAATTTTTTTTTTTTTTTTTAATTTGCAAAAACCGAGTTTTGCATCTAATGTACTCATATAACCTATAGGTTCTCGTTAAACAGGACCTATCTTTAGCATTATAACAGCACGTGAAATCTAAATTGTGTTGTTAACAATGTGCTATAGTATACTATTATACTTAGTAGCATTTATCATTTGAAACCGGGCAATATTATTATTATATTAAAAATTAAAATTTGTTTTTTGTTTATCATTCAGTATAGGTAAGTAAAACTTGATTGTTTTTGCAAAAAAAATATAACGGGTGTTTTCTTAGTGTTTATTATAGGTCCCTTATTAAATAATAGAAAAAATATATTTAAAACTGATTCCATTATAATGAGATATTGCTTTTATGTAAAGCATTTTAAGGAAAACTGTTTTACAGCGTGTATACTCGGTTCTTTTGGATTACTATAGTAATCTAAAAGAACCGAGTGTAGTAAAAGGACCGCGTGATCCGTCGAGAACGAAATGCCTTTCAGGAAAGAACGTATATATTCGATTTTTAAAAACAACACAGTAGTACTTTCGTCCAAACCAAAAAGCCCACTTTGACATTTCATTGGGGAATGCATTGACATTGACGTCTGTCAAAGTTTAGTAATTAAAACAAATTTTAAATGAAATTACATGATAATAAACGTAAAATTATATTAAATATTGTTAAAATATCATAGACAAGGCGAGACAAGGTAAGTAAATATTATTATAAAAAATGTTTATCTACTCCTATTGCATAATTTTTAACCATTTACAGATGTCAGATTTTATTTATTTAATTTTGAAAATCATTTAATTATCTACTTATTGGAGTAGATAAAGTATAGTATTACACTCGAGACTATGCGCAATATTCACTCGGATGATTTAGGTCTCTCGTCTAGCGACTCGAGACGTAAACCTCATCCTCGTGAATATTAGCCTGCATTATCTCTCGTATAATAATATACTATTTTTAGCTATACTTTAACATGTCAAATTATTTAGGTTAGGTTCTGCAGAACCTATAGGTTATAACCTAAATAATTTGGCTTTTTAAGACTGCGAATGAACTGTTGAGGAGGGCGTTTTTGGTTTAGACGATAGTACCTACATATATAAAAATTATAATTCTTTAATTATTTAAGTTAATTTTTATAAAACTCATGAAAGGCTATATATAGATGCCATTTATAATTTATATGTCAAAATACACTGAAATTATTTTTAAAGGTAACGGAAAATATTCGATAATCTTGTCCATGAGTGTATAACTTATACCTATTTCAGTTCTATTTTTTTTTATTTATTAATTTTATATCTTTTTTGCCATACTCTTTATAAAGAATGCTATAGCATTTATAAAAATCTAAGTATTTTAATAAATTTATTATGGAGGAAATGGAGGAATTTCTAAAGGAGCATGAATTAGAAAATTACATAGAAACCTTTAAAGGTATTTAAATTTTCATTTACCTTTATTATTATTAGGCATTATTTATTTTCAATAACTGAAAAAATATAAAACAGTCTATTAAAATTTAAACATTCATCATTAATTTGGTGAAAATAAACAAAATAAATGAATTATTACAAATAGTTAATTTTATTTTAGAAAATGATGTTACTCTAGAAATTGCAAAAAAATTATCCCCCAATGAAATAAAAGAACTAATTCCATCGATCGGAAAACGACAAGTATTTACATCAGCTTTAAAAGAAGTGGTATTTTTTATTTATTTTTACCATTTTGTAAATAATTAATTTTGCTATTTTTATAGACTCTTAATGAATTTATCGTTGGGGATTCAAATTTCCTTGTTGAAACTAATAAAGATGGCAGTACAATCTCTCTTGATACAATAGAAAGTATACAACTACAAGGCGATTTGGCGGTCGTAAACGAACATCGCAATATTGCATTTTGTGGAATCGAAAATTTTGAAATTCCTACATTGCCAGATTTTGACTTGAAAACATTACTGGATACAACCCCATTAGGGTTAACTGTCATAAATTATTACAAAAAAAATCAGCGTCTGAATAATTCTAAAAGAAGAATTCTAGTAGATATAATAACTAAAAAGATATTTAATTTTATCGTAAAACATCGAATGACACATGGAGACTATAACTTAATTTCAGCAAAAATTCTTCTTTTATTTCCAAAGGAATGTATGGGGACCTACTATGTCCCTGCAGTTGGTAAGAAGCGATCACTAACTAATAAATCAATAATTGCTAAAGGAAAGTTAGTGGATAAAGTAAGAAATTTGCTGCGATTGAACAGGGACATAAATTCTGACATAGAAAAAAATACCGAAACCCCCGAAACATCAAGTAATTCATTGAATTATAACGTGAAAGAGCTTGATAAATCTTGGCTAGAAATCAGAAGTGAGCCCAGAACAGAAGTTATAAGCAAGTGGCAAAATACTGTAATATTGAGACGTAGACGTAAATATAATGATGTGCAAGAGTTTTTAAATGATTGGCCTGTACTAAAGAACATAAGCAATGTCAATGAATTGGTAAGTAAAAACATATTTTAAAAATATGCTAGCTATAGTTTTCATAATTTTAGATTTATATGGATTTCGATGAACTTTTTCCAAACTTGGGATTAAATCTTAGATTGAATTGGTTTTTCTTTATGGACAAAATATTATCTATGAAAAAGTTGAATGTAAAAGATCAATATTCTCTAAATTTGTTAGAATTGCTTGAAGACTCTACTGAAGGTAATGATACTTTCTAATTATATTTAATTTTTTTAAAAATGTTTCTCTGTTAATATTTAATGAACTCTGTATAAATTTTAATACTATGTATTAATTTCTTAGACACTGCTGTGGCTATTCATTTGAATCTACTGCCGATTTTGATTCCGCCAAAAGGAAGAACCTGTTTTAAAAATAAAAATTGGAAGTTTTCAGGAGGTGAAGTTCTTGAAAGTTTTTTGCTGCATTCTGTGGTAAGTACTTTTTACATATTATTCAAAGTTTATTGTATAGTTATAAAAGCACTTTAATTTAAAAAATACTAACAAGAGGAGACTTGTTCAGCATGGATAATTTTAAATTTTATATATTATTAAAAGAAAAAACATTATTGTCTAAATTTAATAATTTTTATACTGTCAATACTTATAATATAAAATAAGTCTTTGTTAAATAGCAGATCAGAAACCTTAAATTTATCTTGATATTACATTAGCTAGATTAATGTGTAAATCTTCATTTCAAAAGCTATTTAAATTTACTAATTGGTTTATTTTAGACTGTTACAGAAACAACTCAATTAATAGAAAAGCACAACAGACAAGTCTTTGAAAAAAAAGGAATTTTTCAGCCCTTTATTTTAATTGAAGGACAATCATTGAGGGAAATAAAAAACATTTTTGTTGTAGCTGGTGACAAAAAATTTCAATTTGATTCATTGATTACCGCATTAGATTTTAATTTTAAACTTTTTCACGTTGGAAACTTTCATTATCCAATTGAATCAGAATATTTGTGGCTCATGATTCAGAAATGTGTTTATTCCTTTGATACTGAACATGATAAAGTTATTCCCTATATTTTAGATATTATTCAGGCAATAAAGGAAAACTAAATTTTACTAAAACTATAGTTATATATATATATCTATATAAACCCATTTGATATTGTAATATACTTCTAAAATGCATTGTAATTTGTGTAACGTTTCATTTTCAAATCCAGACTATTTTATATCTCATTTAATATATACTCATGGAATATCAAACAATTTTTCATGTTTTGATAAAACATGTAATCGTCTTTTTCATAGACGAGATTCATATAAGAGACATTTAAAGCTTAACCATCTTAACAAAGATAAAAATACCTCTACAGATACTTTGAGTTTGAAAGCTAATGTTGTAAATGAAAATAATCCTTTAAAAATTGAAAATGACTCTTCATATTGCCATAAGAATGAATTTGTTTCAGAAACTAAAGCTTCCAGTACTTTATTCGATAAGGAAATGTTTTGTAAGTTACTGCAATCAAATATTGAAAAACTTGTATCAAGACTTTACACATTGTTAAATTTAAATAAAACCCAAATACAAGATATTATTATGATGTTAACAAACTTTTTTTCTTCTGGAATCATAGGTATTATCAAAAATAATTTAATGTCAAATAAAATAAGCGAGAGTTGTGAAATGTTAAATTTTTTGGAAGACCCCTTTAAAAATTTTAATTCAGAATATAAACGAGAGAAGTATTTTAAATTAAGTAAATCTTACATTAAACCTGAAAGTTTTGTAATAAAAAAAACTGCAGATAACAACTTTATAGAAGAAAATAATTACTTAGGATACTTTATTTCCTTAAGAAAAACTATTGAAAAATTTCTTGAAATGCCAGGGGTCTATAACAAAATGACAAATTATAGAAATAAAGTTTTATTAGACAAATCAGGCGTTGTTACCAATATTATGCAGGCGGAATTATGGCAGCAATATTTAAAAGTAGTAAAATATAAAAATGTGTTTCCTTTAATACTTTATTTTGATGATTTCGAAATCGGAAACCCGTTAGGTTCACATGCAGGTATTTATAAACAGGGGGTTATTTATTTTTCCATCCCTTCATTTCCTCCCGAATATTGTACACGACTTGAAAATATTTTTTTAGCCATGATATTTAATACGAAATATAGAATATTATGTGGAAATAAATCAGTTTTTAATTTACTTATTGAAGAGCTTATTTTTTTAGAAGATGTTGGTTTAATTATAAATAACGAACACGTTTATTTTCACATGATTGTGCTGACTGGGGACAACCTAGGCATACATTCTTTGTTCGGACTTACAGAATCATTTTCAGCAAATTATTGTTGCCGTTTTTGCAAAATCTATAAAAAAGATATGCAAAGTTCTTGTCAAGAAAACATTGAGTTATTAAGAAACGAAATAGACTATCAAGAATGTGTTGATAAAAAATTATTTGGCATTAAAGAGTTTTGTGTGGTTAATAATTTGCCAAATTTCCATATTTATAAAAATTTTACGTGTGACATTATGCATGACATCTGTGAAGGAGTGCATAGATATTCCATGGCAAATATAATACACTATTTTATAACAAATAATTTTTTTTCTTTAAATGATTTAAACAAACGGTTGAAATCTTACAAGTTTGATCCATCAGAAAAAAATCTACCCCCTATTATTAAAGAAAATCAAATTAAAAAGAAGTGTTTGATAATGTCTTCATCTGAAATGATGTGCCTTGTTTTAAATTTTAGACTATTAGTGGGAGAACTGATCCCAAAAAACAATGTTGTTTGGTTATATTATTTATTATTACTAGAAATCACAGAATTACTTATTTGTCCTTCATTTACATTTCCTGATATAGAGTTATTAAATACTTTGTCAGAAGAACTTAATTCTATGTACATTAAAACTTTTAAAGATAACCTTAAGCCAAAGTTTCATTTTCTTTTACATTATGCAGGGATTGTAAAAAAAATTGGACCACCAGTTCACATTCCGTGTATAAGATTTGAGGCAAAACACAAGGAATTAAAAAAAAATGCTCATGTCATGTATAATCGTAAAAATATTTCCTTTACAGTTTCTTCTAGGTTACAGCTTAAACAATGTTATCGTTTTATATCTGAAAAAGGATGTGACGATATTAGTTCTTTTGGACCGTCATACAAAATATCTATTGATAAAATAAAGGCATGGTCTCCTTCAATTAAAAATTTTGAATTTGAATTAAAGAATTCTTTTGGTGTTTCATGGTATGAATTTAATGGTGTAAGGTATTTAAACAACAGGTCTGTTTTAATGTACGATACAATTAATGATATTCCTCAGTTTTGTCAAATAAATAATATATTAATTTGTGATGAACGCATTTTTTTCTTGACAACTATTTTTGTAACAGAAACTTTTAACATGCATTTTAGAAGTTATAAGGTCACTCTTTCAAATATTAAAAAAACTTTTAAATATGATCTTTTTACAAATAATTTACCGACTAGTTTACATACAATGTCAAATGGGGATATTTATATTTTTTTATCAAAATTATAAATTGATCTAATATGCCGCCAACACACAACTTTTTCTTATCAATATTTTAGGAAAAATTATTTGTCTTTACTTATAGCTATTTAGGACGTCTAATAGCAAAACTATTCTTTGTTTTTAAATAATAAATGTACACGCAATTACACAGATGTTTTAAAAGGTTTTTAATAAAAATATGAAATAAAACAAAACAAATGTTTTACTGTTTTCCCATTTTATGTGTATTGTTAATGACAAAAGTCTATTTCTGTAGATACACAGGATGTTTCTATACTATTTGGATTGTCAATATCTCTCTAAAATTTTGAATTTTTTTCTAATTTTACTTGATTAGTTTTTAATTTTTTTTTCATTTACGAGATATTGGCAGCAAAATAGTAGAATATATACATACATATATAAATGTATATATACAACAATCCTTTCTTGAATTAACAAATTAAATATTTAAAGTAATAATTCGAAATCCGTAACACAAATAAATAATATTGTTATTTTTGCTATTATTTAATTAATTTCAATGTCATGTTTACTTGTTTATAAAAACCGTTTTTTTTAAATTCATTATTTATTTTCTTAAAATAATTCGTTAATATTTTAAGTTAAAAATTAAAAATCTTCTTAATAAGAGAATATTTTGTTAAATTTATATTTAGATTCATAGTTTTAACAAATTATTTTGTAAAATATAAATTATGATTGCTTAAATATAAGTATTTATTTTTTTAATCAACAAAATAATTTGCAAAAATAAAATAACAATTTTATTACCAGAAAGATTTTTTGGTAGAATTAGTTTCTTTACATCTTTAAATTTAAAAAATATTTAATTTCTACTAAAAAATTACCTGCAATGTCAAATGTACAAAATTGCAGATAAAACCATCGTTTTGTTAACTAAACCAAATAATTTTGTTTACTAACAATTCAAAAATATACTTATTATAACAAAATTTTTTGTCGTAGATATATGACACTTGAATTTTGTTAAATTGAATAAATTTTATTTGTCTTGACAAACTTTTTTTAAGCGTGTATACCTAACAATAAAAATAAGATCTTGAAATGTTTGGAGTAGAAACATTTTTTTAAGCCATTTTCTTATATTCTTCAAAAAACAGGAAGTTACTTGACGCATTACTAGTATAATACCAGAGGTATTATTCCAGATAATTAAGCCTTCACCTCGCTAGAGATAATGTTTTTAGTGCGTTCCACCAACTTAATAAAATACTTCAAGTATTGACAGCTGTTTTCAACTATTCAAGTTCTCTTTAGTATCGAACAACTTGTAGTGTCACACCAAAGCAAAGGACTACCTCACCTTATATACTCTTCATGTAAGTCAACAGAGGCGAGATTTAAGAACATCACGCGATCCACACCGCCTTTGCCGCGATCGGTACATACTATGCAACCAGGAATGCACGGCAAATTGTTTTAATCATTTTAACAGAGTGCTTAAGGTTGAAGTAACTCTTATTTTACAAAAAACATATTTAGTAAACTGAACCATACAGCGGGTTGGTTTCACTAAAGTTTTCTGGGTTAATTTAACCAATTTAAAAAAATAAAATGACTATCTGGTTTAGTACCGTCCAACTAATCTTTGTTTATATTAACCTTCCCACGGTTGATTTAAATAAATATGGGTCAACTAAATTAATATAGTTAAATTAACCATTCCTTTTTTTCTGTGTACATAGCTTTTTTGTACAGGCAAATTTTAAAATTTGTTCTGGTTTTAGACATTAACCGTTCTTCAACATCTTTTAAAAGTTTTCTATTTTAAAATAAAGGCAAGTCATTTGAAATAATTGTAACGTTAATAATTATTTATAATTTGCTATTAATATAACCTATAATAATAACACGCAAAGCAGACTTAGCTCACTGTTATAAAAATAAGATTTGTTAACATGAGTTTGTAGGTGTTAATATTATTTTGTAAAATTTTTACAAAATTTTTTGTATACCACTTGGAGCGCGTTCGAAAACTCGCAAGAGTGCACTCTGGATACACTCCAAGTTTACCTTGCGCGTTCGAATTTTCTGGTATATACCTAGATATATGCAACTGTCAGCTGTTCGAAAACAGCAAGTATATGCCCAGAGTGCACTCTCAGTTGTCCAAGCTTTAGACTTGGTTAAGTTTTACCCGTCATGCGCATAGGGTACATCAAACAATAATTTGTATTTACCTTCATATAATTTATTTATAACTGTTTAAAATTCAATAAAACAAAAACGAAAAACATTAAAATAAAAGAATTTATTATAATAAATTATTTAAAAAACTTCAATTCTAAAAAACAAAACAAAATCCATCACAAAAACTTGAATAATCCATATAACTAAAGGGTTGAAATTCAATAATTTAATATTTATATGTATTCAGTCAAATAACAAGCAAAACCAATTGATTTTAGAACACTACAACATAAAGTTTATAGGTATATGCTCCGCGGCGAAAATAACAAGGAGGTTAGGTATAATGTAAAGTCACGTGATTATATACCTATCCTTATACCATATC